TTTGAAAAATTTACAAAACAGAACTGAACTCTAGGTACGTGGTATCTTTTAAGTGATCTTTCTTTTATTATTTTAGCCTGGGATCTAGATACATTTATTATCTGTAATTTATTCTGAAGGAATATACACATCCAAATGATGCTTAAGCATTTGCTTAAAACAAATAAATCTGTTTTGTGGCAGTCCTTAGGAGCAGACAAGCAGCTCCTCACTCAGGAAAATAGGCTTTGTGACTTCATGTGACCTTGAGGGTTTCTGCACCAAAGAAAGTATCATTGAGGGATTTTTAAGTGACTACTTGGGCATAACTATCAAGACCTAACTGAGTAATAAGGAAAGGGGGAAATTTCTCACCATTCAGAGTACACAGCACTCCAAACTGCTTTTAATCAGGTATATGTTCAGCATTACTATGGGGTCAAAATACTTGGTTTCACAAGTGTTTAATTCAAGGGTGAAGAGTGTGGTGCTGTTAGGAGTATAGATAGAATCTTGACCCTGTATATAACTTCCCCACACTGCCATTTCCAGCTTGCAAGACCACTTCTCAGGCAAATTCGCTGAAAGGGTTCAGGACCCAGGAAGATGGTTATCTGCTAGGCTAGGGAACTGTGTGATAGTTGCCATGCTTTTGTCTCCACTAGGAGACATAAATGTACTTACTTGCCTACTGGTAAATGCTGGGAAAATCTACCAAAAATCATAAATATTTCTGTGATGATGGCACAGTCAAAACTCTAACCTCAAGAGAAAAATACACCATTTGCACCATTTAACTTACACAAAAAAACAGAATCCATACCTGAAAATACATGTATGCTATAAACTGAGCTAGAATAGGGATCTAAGAGCTAGTATGGCAGATTAATTTTTTCTGGAATGTTTATTTTGTTACTCATAATTCAGAACTCTGTGACATTTATTTCACAAATAGACAGCTATACTAAAGCTTACGCATGTAATTTTAAATTAACAGAACAATATTTAATTTTTTCAGTTACCTTCTGATGAGTCTGAGGACATCTCCACCAAACATGGGATTTCCTGGGAATCAGGGGCCATTTTCAATACTTTTATACTTGACTAAATCTGAATTTCATGGGACGTTTGGCAGAGGAGAGATTCTAAGGTCTTAACCAATTGATGCCTAAATCAAAGAGTTTATAACATGGCATGATGGGAATAATCTAAACATATTTTACCCTTTGAAACTTTTGCTGCATCACAGTAGCTAAAATGTGTAGAATATGCAGTAGAACTTGGGTCGTATGCTACTCAGATATAATGCCCTCAAAATTTCCTCATTTAAAAATCTCATTTTAGAGAGGAACTAGGTGTTTCACAAAATTAAAATAGCCAACTTTGTACCTCACATCAGTGTTTTTCTCCTGCTGTGTACAAAAATGCATAAGAACTACCTGGTGTTCTCACCACCAAAGGGCTACCACCGTCCCTGCCAGCAGCGCATCATCCCCTTCCCTCAGCGAGTCTATGCGCCGCCTTCTCTGAGATGATCCTCCACAATATGGCGGCTGCACTGCTGAGGTGACAGCTGCACCTGATGCCTGAATGGCTTTACCGGGATTAATGCAGCAAGATTTTCTTTGAGATTCAACTTCATTTTCCCCACAAGTGCTCCACCTACATCAGTGAAAACCGTCTGATCAAACCATCAAACCATGGAATTTTAGTAGAGCCATGACCAATATAAAAGAATGAATAGTATCTCCTAGTAACTCCTAGAAAATATTATTAATAATATTTCCTACAGTGTTTTGGTGGCTTTATGTTCTAATTTATGCTTCATGTAATACAGACCCATGTCTTTTTGCAAATAGATGTGGAACAATGTACCCAAATAGGAGTACAAACAAGAAAAGTTATTGGAGATTTTTAAAACAGTAATTACAAAGCAGATACTGTCAGAACACTGAATCAGCATCTCTGGAAATTGAAATGAATACATGAACTTAAAATCTGAACACTCACTTTTCAACAGGAATGAAGTAAACAAATTCCCTTCAAAGTTGTCAGAGGGAATTTTAGATGACTCGTGTGGGACACACAGATACATCTAAAGAGCACTGGTGTTCAAGACCCTTCCATAAAACTGTCCTCCTCACCCATCATCTGGAGTCAAGAGTCCTTCCAAAGCACCTTCTTCATCGCTCCCTTCACATCCTTGTTCCTCAGCGTATAAATGAGGGGGTTGGTCATGGGGATAATGACAGTGTAGAAGAGAGACATGAACTTGTCCTGATCCTGGGAGTTGTTGCTGCTGGGCTGATAATACACATACATGGCTGTGCCAAAGAACAGGGAGACCACCGTGAGGTGGGATCCACATGTGCCAAATGCTTTTCTCTGCCNGTCCTCGGCCCCTCCAGGGCTCCGGAGCATCTGGAGTGAGGCTTGGTTGCCTTTCCCGGGCCACTCCCCGCAGAGCCGGCCCTCCTGCCTCCACGCGGCTGTCTGCTGCTTTCCCACCTCTAATGCTGCCAGAGCGCTCGTGGCCCCTCGCCCTCTCCACCGAGGAAGCAGTGTGATTGTCCTTCCTTCCTTCCCTGTGGCCTGGGGCCAGCTGGCCGTCTTGACTCCATACTGGTGCTAACTGGCCCGGGCACAGGTGTGAAGGGGAGGAGGCCAGACCTTCCATGGCTTGTGTGGCAGAGGAGGAGGCCCTCCGTTTCGCAGGCAAGACTGAGTGGGACTGGGCAGCGTGCGCCTTTCCCCCTGTTGTCCAAGTGCTCACAGCCCGCTGCCCGTCAACAGCAGTGATGTGGCTCTTCCCCTTCCCTTGTGGGAAGTGCCACACCTTATAAGGACCTTAGTGCCTCTGGGCAAGGCAGCTTTTGGGCTGACTGGGTGCAGTGTTGTGGAGAGAAAGAGACAGAAGCTCCTGTTTGTCTCGTCACCACCTGGTGGCAGAAAAGTTGAAACTGCGTGTGTGGGAGCGGGTGGACGTGCATGGATGTGTGCGTGCACACGTGTGCTCAGGGTCTCGGTTTCTTCAAGCATCAGCTGCAGGTGTCCTCCATGTCTCACACACGGAAACCCAAAAGGCTGAATAAGAAGACGTCCCCGACTCAGAAAAGCTTGGAGAACTGGGGCGACAACAAGGTGTCCCTCCGCATCACTGCCTGAGGCAGACTGGGCGGAGCTGTTTGAGTGGAATCTAATACTAATGAAACTGGCGAGTATTTATTGAACCTGTCTTTGTCACTGTTTCCAGCACTTTCTGGTGGTGGCTACACAGTCCTTTCTGCAGTGTGTGCTAGTTCCCATCATTTCCCAACACGCATGTGCAAAGCAGATGCAGAGATTGGAACTCCAAAGTAATGGCCTCAGCCCAGGTTATCAGCACCAAGTCTGTGCTGCTTCCCAGTAAGACCACGTGCATCCACCAGTGACAGATGAGCCGAAAGTAAAGCCATCCCAGCCCTCCCACTCTGCACACCCTAGGAGCTGGGCACCTGCAGGGTCATACGGCAGGTGGTCACTAGGGCAGACACTGAGGCAGAGCTGGGACCTGGTTCTCCCAGGCTGGCCGTGCTCCACATTGTTGCAGAGGTCAGCTAACTGGCTGGAAGCCAGGTGGACTCTGCCCAACCTGACTTCCTGTACCAGTATCACGGCGGGGGGACTGCAGACAGAATGGCTTCTGGATACACACTGCCAGGCCATTCCTGGGTTCAGAGCACCCAAAGGCCTCAGGGAGGAACCCAGGACATGAGGCGTGTCTGCTAGAGCAGGGTGGGGTTTCTGGCAGCTTGGGTGCTCAACTAGTTCAACTTGACCCCAGCCCAGCCTCCCTCTCAGCAAGACAAGAAACAGTAGGCTGGGTATAGGGTACTTTTATTGATGGTACACGACAAGGCAGGGCTCCCTAAGCCCCTCCCCTTCCTCAGGGCCTTGGGGATGGAAACTGTGGCGGTCGGGCGATTCTCAGTGTGGTGGAGGATCGAGGTGGGGCAAGGACTCCCCAGCAGTTGAGGAACTCTCTCTTCCTCTCATGCTCCTGCTGGGGCTGGGGGTCCAGGGACCTTACTCCTTGGAGGCCGTGTGGACCATGAGGTCCATCACCCTGTTGCTGTAGCCGAATTCATTGTCCTACCAGGAAATGAGCTTGACAAAGTGGTCATTGAGGGCAGTGCCAGTTCCAGCATCGAAGGTAGAAGAGTGAGTGTCACTGTTGAAGTCGCAGGGGACAACCTGGTCCTCAGTGTAGCCTAGAATGCCCTTCAGAGGGCCCTCTGACGCCTGCTTCCCCACCTTCTTGATCTCATCATACTTGGCAGGTTTCTCCAGGTGGCACGTCAGATCCACAATGGACACGTTGAGGGTGGGCACGCGGAAGGCCATGCCAGTGAGCTTCCCGTTGAGCTCAGGGATGACCTTGCCCACAGCCTTGGCAGTGCCAGTAGAAGCAGGGATGATGTTCTGGGCAGCCCCTCGGCCATCACGCCACAGCTTCCCGGAGGGGCCATCCACAGTCTTCTGGGTGGCAGTGATAGCGTGGACGGTGGTCATGAGTCCCTCCACGATGCTAAAGTGGTCATGAATGACCTTGGCCAGGGGTGCCAAGCAGTTGGTGGTGCAGGAGACATTGCTGACAATCTTGAGGGTGTTGTTATACTTCTCGTGGTTCACGCCCATCACAAACATGGGGGCATCGGCAGAAGGCGCAGAGATGATGACCCTCTTGGCGCCACCCTTCAAGTGAGCCCCAGCCTTCTCCATGGTAGTGAAGACCCCAGTGGACCCCACCACGTACTCAGCACCAGCATCACCCCACTTGATGTTGGCAGGATCTCACTCCTGGAAGATGGTGATGGCCTTTCCATGGATGACAAGCTTCCCATTCTCCACCTTGACTGTGCCGTGGAACTTGCCGTGGGTGGAATCATACTGGAACATGTAGACCATGTAGTGAAGGTCAACGAAGGGGTCATTGATGGCGACAATGTCCAGTTCGCCAGAATTAAAAGCAGCCCTGGTGACCAGGCGCCCAATGTGGCCGAATCCATTCCCTCCGACCTTCACCATCTTGTCTCAGAGATGCGGCTGGCACAGCACGAAAGTTACGGCTATCTGTCAAACGGGCAGGAGCAGAGAGCCAAATTTATTGATTTTTAATTGAAGAGGAATTTTTTACAGTATTGTGTTGGCTTCTGCCAAACACCAATATGAATCAGCCATAGGTATACCTATGTCCCTTCCCTCTTGAGCCTCCCTCCACATCCTATTCCTCTAGGTTTTACAGAGCCCCTGTTTGAGTCCCTGAGTCACAAAGCAAATTATAGCCAACTTCTAAGAGATCACAGAATTAAAGTTTAGGCAGATTTTAATGTTCAAGGTAATATATTAAATGGCAACACCCACATTTTACTCTCAAACTTCTAATGTGGCTAATGAAAAATATCAAGTCCTCTATGACATTGTTCATTTGCTATTAGAGAGTTGCAATAGTTTACTTAAACAAAAAAACTATTGACTTTTTAAATGGAACTTCCAGGGATTCCTACAGTTCAAATCATCTTTCCATTTACGATGGACATGATTGAGTTAATCAAGATAGCCATAATTGCTCAAGTAAATTGAAAGAAACTTGAAGGGTATTGTGTGTATTGAAGTTTGAAGATAATCAATTTCAAAACAACTTATACACTTGACTACACAAGGTTAAGGCAGGAATACTTAACATCTGTCTATGGAAGGCTTTGGCCTAACCATCAAATGCAGCTTCAAAAAATATAAAATCTCTTCTTCTCCCCACTAGAACACATTTTGTTTCAGAGTAATAGACCACTGCTAGTTAGTAGTATAAGCTGTCTCAGAGAAAGCTATTTAGGTTTGAAGCATCTTGGATTTTATATGTTATTAGTCAGAAAAGCACAGAGCTTACATTTTATAGACAGCCATTGCCCATATAAGCATAAATTCTTTTTTTTAATAACATCCTATCTGTAGAGAGAAATTATCTCTTCCTTAAAAATAGCCTTAATTAGAATTTTCTCAGTAATCTCTCCACTAGTTAAATCCCAACATAATATTTATAAGGAGGCCTAGTAAAGACCAGTATGTCACAGGGTGTCCAGAGATGGAGAGAATCAGAGGCCTGCTGTTAACACATCTTCCCAGTTCAATCTTGCTGATGCAAATATTAATTGGCAAAATAATATTGCATAATAATTTGAAATTTTCTAGTAATGCTTACTTGAAATTATATGCTTTTTTTCCTATACTATTTTTCAAAATTCTTGTTTTATACTGGAATATAATACAACAAAAGCATGATCTATTTTTTAAGAAATCTACAACTGAAGATTCATCAAAATAAAATCATTATTAAAGACCCTGTTAAGAGGATAATAAGATAAGCTACAAACTGGAAGAAAATATTTTCAAACTGCTTCTCATAGATCTTGAGTGATAAAGCCTGGTCCCTGGTCCCAAAGTTAAATCTTACTCAGAGATCATGAATCTGACATCATTCACCATAAGCTATCAGCAGTATACTTACATATTTGAAAAGTTATTCCCTGATGGCCCAACTTCCAATCAGCCTCCATCTAGATGCTGAATGAGATTCTCCCTTTGAGAACATTAAGAGGGCTTGACAAGCCTTCAAATGTGGGAGCCACTAAGAATAAGGTGGAGCAGAAATACTCCACAATTGTTGACAAGCTACGCCTCTGCCTGAGAGAGAAGGTGGGGGACAGAAACAGCAGTAAACAGAGACAGACGCTTCTTTAAGCTACTGGATTGTCAGGGTCTTTTTCTTATAGCAGCCTAGCCTTTAATTCAACTAATAGAGTTTTCCTCTCACATTTCTGGAATTTCCTCCCAATCTCGTGAAGAGTCTTAAAATTCTCTATTCAGTTCATTTCAGTTGCTCAGTAGTGTCCGACTCTTTACAACCCCATGAACCACAGCATGCCAGGCCTCCTTGTCCATCACCAACTCCCGGGGTTTATTCAAACTCATGTCCATCGAGTCAGTGATGCCATCCAGCCATCTCATCCTCTGTCGTCCCCTTATCCTCCTGCCCCCAATCCCTCCTAGCATCAGGGGCTTTTCCAGTGAGTAAACTCTTTGCATGAGGTGGCCAAAGTATTGGAGTTTCAGCTTCAGCATCAGTCCTTCCAATGAACACCCAGGACTGATCTCCTTTAGGATGGACTGGTTGGATCTCCTTGCAGTCCAAGGNAATATCCACTTGCCATACAGCCCAGTAATCATGCTCTTGGGCATTTATGGCAAGGAAACAAAAATTTATTCCACACGAAAACCTGTGCACAATTATTCATAGCAGCTTTATCTGTAACAGCAAAAATTGAAAACAACTAAAATATTCTAAACAAATACAGGTACATCCATACTGTGGAATACTACTTGGCAATAAAAAAGAATACACATAACATCTTGGATGAGTCTCAAGGGTATTATGTTGAATGAAAATAAGTCTGTGTTAATAGGTTAAATATGATCCCACCTACATAACACCCATGAAATAACAAAAGTAATAGAGACAGAGACCAAATTAGTACTGCCCAAGAGGTAGGGATGGTTTTAAGAGGGTTCAGAGGAGGGGCTGCTTCCCTGGTAGCTCAGTTGGTAAAGAATCCACCTGCAATGCAGAGGACGCTGGTTTGATTCCTGGGTTGGGAAGATCCCTTGGAGAAGGGAAAGGCTACCCACTCCAGTATTCCAGCCTAGAGAATTCCATGGACTGTATAGTGCAGAGGGTCTAAAGAATCAGATGCAACTGAATGACTTTCACTTTCAGGGGAAGTGAGGGACGAGCTTGTCCATAAAGGGGTATCACAAAGGAGATGTGTGTGGTGATGGGATAAATCCATATCTTGATTGTGATGGTAGCCTCAGGAATCTACACGGGGAAAAATTTACATAGACCTAAACACACACAATGTACATATGTCAGTTTCCTAGTTTTTATATTGTATTAGAGTTGTATAATGGGCTTCCCTGATAGCTCAGCTGGTAAAGAATCTGCCTGCAAGCAGGAGACTCGGGTCGATTCTTGAGTCGGGAAGATCCCCTGGAGAAGGGATACCCACTCCAGTAATTTTGGGTTTCCCTAGCGGCTCAGATGGTAGAGAATCTGCCTGCAGTGCACGAGACCTCAGTTTGGTCACTGGGTTGGGAAGATTCCCTGGAGGAGGGCATGGCAACCACTCCAGTCTTCTTGCCTGGAGAATCCCCATGGACAGAGGAGCCTGCCAGGCTACAGTCCATGGGGTCGCAAAGAGTCAGACAATGCTGAGCAACTAAGCATAGCACAGAATAGTTATATAATATGAACTCACTGGGAGAAAATAGATCAAATGTATCCAAGACTTCTCTCTACTAACTTTGGACTTTCCCATCAATCTGTAATTGTTTCTAAATGAAAAGCCTAAAAAGAAAAAAGACTTGAATAGAACAAGAACTAGAGAATGAGAAAAACAGGGACAGACAGAGACACAAAGCAACAAGAATGGAAAAGAGAGAGAAAAGGAGAGAGGAAGCTGTTCAAAAGGGTCGAAGGTTCCTGTTCACTCATGACATACCTGCTCCAGAACTCCTCTCCTCCCATGGACACAGTGAATCTACAGTTTTACACAGAACAACTTCTTCGAAAAGAAATGTGGAAACTAGCTGGGGGAATGCTATACACAAGGTGAATAAGAGAAGCACAAACTAAAATCATTAGAAGATAAAAAAAATAAACAAATCATTAGAAGAGGCAGAGACAAAATCTCTATCTAAAACCCACCCTTGGAGCCACAATATAGAGGCAAGTGGGAAGTCACCACTGTCAGTTTCTCCCGAAGGAACAAAGTGTCCCACATCCGGGACCCTAACTTTGAAGACTTAATACCTGAGACATGGGCCTCCAAAACATAGAGGAGCTCTGAAAGCCAATGAAGCTTGTGTCCATGAAATCCATGAGGCTATAAAGAACTGAGAAACAGTTCTTAACAGGCTCACCCAGACTCACTGTGGCTATCTCTCCAGGGCACAGCACAGAGACACAGACTGAAACCTCCAGCTTGTCCCTGAAAGAAGCCTATTTCCTTATCTTAAAAGCTAAGACTTCTAACACATATCTAGGGGTCAACTGCAATCCTCACCAAACACCTGAGAAGCCAACAGGAGCCATCATCGTGTTTTCCCTCTGTCCCATCCCAGGTCACCAGTGTCTCTGTGACAGGAGCTTGTTCACATGTGTGGCCGCCCAGGTTTTGTGGCTGCTGCCAGAGGACACATTCCCTATCGCCTAGCCCAAACCCCCACCAGGGCTTGCAATCCTGGGTCCAACAGGACAGTAGCAAACTAAGGAACATCTCCCAACTTGCTGCCTGTGCCACCCCCACTTAGCGCTAAATGTGGAAGGAGCAGACAGAAAGTCGCATCTCCCAATCTTCTCCTGAAACAAGTGAGAGGGTAACAAACAAGAAGGCCAGGGGTCTCCAAACGGAGGAAACATGCTGCGAGTGTCAGACATTTCTCCTCTCTCCCTTAAGAGGCAGGAGGAAACAAACTACAAACGTCGGGCTTTTTTCTCTTAAAATTCTCTGTTGCCATGATGACACCTTGTTCCACCTGAACTTAACTTTTCTCAAACCTTCAGCTAACAAATGCATTTTTCTTATGGAAATCTTTTTTTTAAACTATGTTAATGAAACCATGTATTTTCTTTGGAATTTGCCTTTCTTCAAAATGGTTCCACCTAAAACTAACTTTTGGCTGATAATTGCTCAACAAACCAGTATTCATATCAATTGTTTTATGGCTGAGGGATGATACACCTCCTGCCATCCTATCTCAAAAATGCATATTGTGGGAGAGGGGCTGGTAAAACTCCATCAGCCTTCAGGTGTCTCTCTTATCTGATCAATAGCTTTCTAACAGACATAAAACATCCCACTAAAGATTAGCAGGGGGGCACTCTCCATCCCCCTTTTGATGTCTATGTCAGAAGCTTTCTCTGTCCTTTGATACTTTAATAAAACTCTGCTATACCAAAGCTCTTGAGTGATCAAGCCTGGACCACATCAAGGAGATGGAAACCATGCCAACTGTGGCAATCTAGATCAGGAAGCCCTAAG